AAAACAACCCAAAAAGATAGACACTTTTATCACTCCCATTTTATAGACAGAAAAACTGAGCTCTGTCCTAAGCATTTTACCTGTATTAGGCCCTACACACCAAACAGATCTGTGCAACCATCAATCTGTGGCTGGTGAGGAAGGAAAGTGGGCACCATGCACTATCTACCATTTTCTTTGGTTACTTCTATTCCCAGAAATAGCCACATCTGTGTTCTGGCAGCGATAGAGCGAAAGCTGAGTGTCTGCAGGGCAAGTGGCAACTTTTCTACCTGACAACCCAGTGGAGTAATCTGGAGTGTTATTCTTGACTAGGTGGCTTCAAACTATTTTCTTGACTTCCTAGAGAATCTATAAGCTCTTGATAGTTTTTGGAAAATTCATTTTCAGCCTGTGATGGTTAATATTGTCAATTTGATTGAATTAAAGGCTGCAAAGTATTGTTCCTGGGTATGTCTGTGAGGGTGTTGCCAAAGAAGATTAACATTTGGCCGGGCCCGGTGGCTCAAGCCTGTAATCCCAGCACTTTGGGAGGCCGAGGCGGGTGGATCACAAGGTCGAGAGATCGAGAGCAACCTGGTCAACATGGTGAAACCCCGTCTCTACTAAAAATACAAAAAATTAGCTGGGCATGGTGGCGCATGCCTATAATCCCAGCTACTCGGGTGGCTGAGGCAGGAGAATTGCCTGAACCCAGGAGGCGGAGGTTGCGGTGAGCTGAGATCGCGCCATCGCACTTCAGCCTGGGTAACAAGAGCAAAACTCCGTTTCAAAAAAAAAAAAAAAACCATTTAAGTCAGTGGTCTGGGAGAGGCAGACCCACCCTCAGTCTAGGTGAGCACCATCTAATCAGCTACCAATGCAGCAAGGATAAAAGAAGGCAGAGAACATGAGAGAACTATTCTGGCTGAGTCTTCTGGCCTCCATCTTTCTCCCATGTTGAATGCTTCCTGCCCTCACACATCAGACTCCAAGTTCTTCAGCTTTTGGACTCTTGGAGCCAAACCAGTGGTTTGACAGGGGCTCTAGGGCCTTTGGCCACAGACTAAAGGCTGCACTGTTGGCTCCCCTGCTTTTGAGATTTTGGGACTCGGACTGGTTTCCTTGCTCCTCAGCTTATTGTGGGACTTCACCTTGTAATTGTGTGAGTCAATGTGCCTTAATAAACTCCCTTTCATGACACATCTATTCTATTAGTTCTGTCCCTCTAGAGAACCCTGACTAACACACAGCCAGAGTGATGTTCTGTTGTCGCAGCTGAGATCACAGGCTGATACAATATGCGAAGTGCCCTGTATAATAAACATTGGTTTTCTTGGCCAGGTGCGGTGGCTCACATCTGTAATTCCAGTACTTTGAGAGGCCAAGGCTGGCAGATCACAAGGTCAAGGGATCAAGACCATCCTGGCCAACATGATGACACCCTATCTCTATTAAAAATACAAAAATTAGCTGGGCGTCGCGAGAATCACTTGAACCCAGGAGGCGAAGGTTGCAGTGAGCCAAGATGGCACCACTGCACTCCCACTTGGCAATAGAATGAGACTCTGTCTCAAAAAATAAATAAATAAAAATAACAAAAACAATAAACTTTGGTTTTCTCTTTTCTGTGGGTCTGCATTTTGCATCAAGATTTTTTTGTTTTTGTTGTTGTTGTTGTTGTTGTTGTTTTGTGTGTGTGTTTTCTTTGTTGTTGTTTTTGAGACAGTGTCTAAACATCTATCACCCAGGCTGGAGTGCAGTGGCACAATCTCAGCTCACTTCAGCCTTGACCTCCTGTGCTCAAGCAATCCTCTCATCTCAGCCTCTCAAATAGCTACAGGAACATACCACCACACCTGATTAATTTTTGTTTAAATTTTTTTCAAAGATGAGATCTCACTATGTTGCCCAGGCTGGTCTTGGACACCTGGGCTCAGGCAATCCTCCCTCCTCAGCCTCCCAAAGTGGGAGGCTTGAGTCACCCTGCCAGGTCTTTTGCACCAAGTCTTTAAGTATTGTTCCATGTTTATGTCACTTATTAAGTATCACACACAAGATCATGTCCTTTGCAGGGATGTGGATGGGACTGAAGGCCATTATCCTTAACAAGCTGATGCAGGAACAGAAAACCAAATACCTCCTATTCTCACTTATGCATGGGAGCTAAATGATGAGAACTCTTGAACACATAGTGAGGAACATCAAACACTGGGGCTTGTTTGAGGATGGAGGGTGTGAGGAGGGAGAGGATCAAGAAAAATTACTAATGGGTACTAGGCTTAATACCTGGGTGATGAAATAATCTGTACAACAGATAGGGTGCAGTGGCTCACACCCATAATCCCAGCACTTTGGGAGGCCAAGGCAGGTGGATCATGAGGTCAGGAGATTGAGACCATCCTGGCCAACAGGTTGAAACTCCATCTCTACTAAAAATATGAAAAAATTAGCTGGGCATGGTGGCACGGGCCTGTAATCCCAGCTACTCAGGAGGCTAAGAGAATCACTTGAACCTGGGAGGTGGAGGTTGCAGTGAGCTCAGATTGCGCCACTGCACTCCAGCCCAGCAACAAAGGGAGACTCCATCTCAAAAAAAAAAAAAAAATCTGTACAACAAACCCCCATGACACAAGTTTATCTATGCAACAAGCCTGCATATGTATGCCTGAACTTAAAAGTTAAAAAAAAAATCACACATTTTGATGTAATTACATTAAATCCTGCTGAGTCTCAAGGTGAGTCTTGTTAATAGAGAACAAAAGATGTGTCATGATGTGATTCTCAAATGTGAGACTCCTACTGAAAAACAACATTCTTTCATCTTCGATGTGTCAAGCGATAAAGAGGTGTGAGTAAGGACTCTCAGATCTTTGTAGACAGCAGCATTGGACTCTTGTTGGCATCTATTCCCACTTACTCCACCAATGAGACACACCAGGACAGTGACCTATCCTTTCCCCAGCTACCTAACTCACTCAATCACGGGGTGCAGTAGGTGGGAGGTCTTGTTTTCTGTGGGGTGCTACCCACTTAACATGTCCCTTAATTCTTTCAAACCCGGAAACAACTCTTTTAAAAATAATTATTCAACACAGTCTTTATTATACTTTTATTGTTTGTATGATTCACTTTTGTCTGTTACAAATATATTTCAAACTAGACAGTCACAGATGTTAATAAACTTGCCCAATGTGTCACCTGTCTCTTAATTAATTCCATAGTTTTCACTGCCTTCTGCTACTTGCATTCCAATGAGAGAATGGTAATGTGTGCTTCTCTGAATCAAGTTCAAGGATAAATGCCCTGTTGGGGGATAGTTCAAAGCCTATTGTGCTTTGTGTGTGTGAGCTAAGGCCCAGCTAATCACCACCTCTCTACACAGCACCTTTCAGCTGGCTACTGAGTTCTCGGTGGATTGCTTAAAATATATATTAAAATGATGACTCTTCATAGTATAAGTAAATTAATTGCTTCATTATTCTAAGAAAAACTGTGAGAAAATAGCAGTGTGTTTCTAAAATGACTTAAAGTCATACAGTATTCTAGGTGTACTTTAATATTTTACTTTATACAATTTTTATTTGTCATACATAAAAATTATCGGGCACATACAACAATTTGCCTTTTAAAAACTCATAAAAGCAGTTTTTCTGTACAGTATGGAATCTTCCTGAGAAACTCAAGTTACCGATTTAGGAATTGTTCTAAGGAAGAACAAGGCACCAAGAAGCAAATTGATGCTGTCCCCTTTGTATCACAGTCTGCAGACACGGGTTGAGCTTCCTCCAAACACGAGCTACGAAAGGCACAGAAAGTTGCCAAGACAAAGCCAAAGAAACAATATGTTTTGCCAAATTATTTGCTAGCTTGGTCTGCTGGTTACGTAAGAGATTTGGACGTGGCACTAAGCAGGTTGACACAAATGGTGACTCAGGGCTAAAGTAAGACCTACTGAATGCTGTAATTACTGTGGACTGAGAGACACTGTTTTTGTAACAGGAAAGGATATATACAATCATGTGCCTCATAACTGTTTTTCAGCCAACAATGGACCAGATGATGGACCACATACATGATGGTGGTCTCATAAGATTATCATACTGCATGTTCACTTTTTCTATGTTTAGATATACCAACATTCATCATTGTGTTAAAATTGCCTGCAGATTCAGTACAGTCACATGCTGTACAGGTTTGTAGCCTAGGAACAAAAGGTTATACCATGTAGCCAGGTGTGTAGGAGGCTATACCATCTAGGTTTGTGTAAATACAATCTATGATGTTCACACAATGACAGAATCACCTAGTGATGCATTTCTCAGAACATATTTCCATTGTTAAGTGACATAGTATGTATATAGGCATGTGTGTGTGTGCATATATATCATATGACTGTATACAGGCATGTGTATGTATGCAGTCACATGCACTTACATATATTTGTGTGTGTGTGTGTGTGTGTGTGTGTGTGTTTGTCCTTTCAAGTATTCAGTCTAAAATCAAATGACTATATTTGAAAATGTGCCTCAAACATCATAAGGTCAAGAGCCATTACAATAGAAAAATGGTGAGCCTCGGGAAGTTAGAAAAGGGGCATTAAAACCCAGGTCATTCCCACAGCCTTTGGGTAAGCATGATGGTGAGTGAAAGTTGGGATGGTAAGAGAAATTTTTACAGCAAATGAGAATGGAGTAGGGAGACAGGGAGTAGTAGCACATTTATGAGTAAAATATGAGGTTTATGAGCAACCAGTAACCCAATAGAGAAGTCACTTATAAGAAGAGCCATATACGTGGTGAGGGAGTATTTATACATGTAGGTCAGGAAGTCCCTGGGCCAGAGATGGCAAAGATACCCATGTTAGAACTACAGGGGGAAAAGAAGAGCACAGAAATACATCATGCAACAAGGTCATTCATTTGGAAATGTAATGCTTTCTGAAAACTTGAGCATTCATTTTCTTCACTTGCCTGTTCTAATAAGAGAGGTTTGGTGTGGTCATTTTTCAGTAAAAAGGATTAATATAAAACTTTCATTTTAATTTTACACAATAATTTTTCTTGACTATTGATAGATCACAATAAAAGCAATGCTGATGATGTAAGTTATTTTAAGACTTTGGGGGAAAAGGCTTCTGTCTCTGGTGTTGACTTTATTGTGGAGGACCCTCCAAAATCTTCAGCTCTGCACCAGCAAGTCTGCTGAGTCGTGTATGTTGACATAAACCACAAGGAGTCAAGGAGGTAAAACACCACAGCGACTGGCTCAGATCTCAGATATGCAAGATGAGTCCTCAGGATTTTTCACACACTGAAGAAACTTGGCAGGTCTATGACAAGAAAGCAAAAAAGGAAATCAAGAGGCCATAGAATACATCTGTGGTCCAATTTGCTAATGGAGGAAACCCCCTTTTTAGCTATAACAATATGCACAGACCACTTAGCATCCATACAAATACATCTCCTGCAGTGACACATCAGGAGAGGAGCTGTCCCTGTCAGCTGATGATCAAAACACAGCAGGAGCAGCAACCAAGGCCAGGGACCCCCACAATTTCTGTGGCTAATTTGCTTCATTCTCTTCAGAAGATTCCTGAGGGAGTGTTGGATCCAGGGTAAAAGGCAGAGGTTATAGACCCTCTGGGAAAGGCTGGAGATCCTCAGCAAGGAGACCAAACTTCCTTTGCACAGAACAAACCTTAGATAAGCATCTAACAAGAGAATGGCTATTATTTTCACAAAAATTGGTTAAAGCAACAGGACCCAATGGGAGTGGCTGGCACATGAATAGGGGGATGGTAGACAGTGAGGAAGGAGATTCTTTAAATGTGATTTTGCTAAATATGAGCCAAGGAAGAGGGAGATCCTTAGAAGCAACTGCCAACACCCCTGGGCTTCTGGAAGGAAGAGGTATCAGAACCTGCCCTTGTGATGGGTCACCTCAGGCTCACCCCCAGTCAACTGTCATGACCAGTTGGGTACAGCAGTTCTACATATAGAGTCACTCCATCGTCACCAATATGGTAACCTGAGATCCCCTCATGAAGATATTCTGGGAAAACAAAGTATCCTCTTTATTAAGGAAATGCTGCTATGGAAAAGAAATCTTTCTAAGACTAGGATTTTTGAAGCTACCTTTGCTTTACATTAAATGAGGATAATATGACTATGTTTATTAATTCCAGTTTCTAATTGGGAATTCAATTTTGAAAAAGTAGTAGTACCTATGCGTTAAGATGATCTCTCTCCGTTGATATGTAAGTATTCATATCCAACGTCCCCATAAAATGGACATTACTTTTCATCTATCAAATAATATTTTGATGGAGAGAGTAACATTTTGATTGAGAGAGAACATTTTGATGTTTTGAAGCTAACATACAGGAATTAATGTACCCTTTAGGGTTTTTTTTTAAATGCCACTAGAGGGCCTAGCCAGATAAATCATGCTGACCACTAATTTTATGATATCCATCATTGATTCCACTGGTTAAAACACATAAACATGTTAAGAAACTCCATATACATTTTATCAGGACCATGAGTGTGTGTATTAAAAAAAAAAGAGGCTTGGAAATATACATGTTAATAGTGTTTGTCTCTAAGTGATGAAATTTATTAAGGGATCATATTAGAGTCATTAGGAAGTCTAATTTGTTTAGATCTAATATATACATATATGTATGTATATAATTATACTTCTGGAAGGAAGAGGTGTTTGATTATTAAATAATAACATCGAAAGCGCTGGACAGAAGTTTGCTAAAATGAAAAGGTATGTTTGGAATGGAGACATTTAAACTACAGTCTATGTCTGTATCCATGACATTCACCTTGGGCTCCCCTAGAGACAAACAACTGTTCTTTAAAGCCACACGGCAGTTAGACACAACAAGGGGTCCTGCCAATCCAGTCATTAAAAGAGTCATACTGAATATATTACAGCTTCATGGTTGGAGAAAATGAACAGTGATTTCAAGACAATACCCAAGTTTAAAGTCGCATGATCTGATGCTCTGAATAATAAGTGTTGGCTTATAAATGACCTGCCTCCCACATGGACCACTGTCTGTACAAGTCCAAATGGAAGCCATGCCCATATTTTTTTTCCAGATGAAGAATGAGTGAGCTCACTTGGATACTAGAGCAGACACAAATGAGGAGTTTGATGAATTGTAATATAAAGGCCCTCTGGTCATTTATGAAAAAAAGGTTAATGTTTAAAACAAGAAAAAAAAATAAAGAGTATTGGGAATAAGGGCATCTTTATTTCCCAGTCTTTATCCAGGTTTCTACTATTCTATTTTCTCCATGCAACTCGTCTTTGAACAGCTTAGACTGGTCAGATATCTGAAAGATTTTTTTTACAGTGGCTCCTTCATTCGTTATTTCTGTTTCCCTATATAACAGCTGTAGAACACTCACATCCTTTCCTGGCAGTTTCCAGATAGAAGCAAGCTGACCAATGAGGAATTAGGGTCATTTGGGAAACTAAAGCTATCAGAAGAATCCCTTAAATCTATGCTTCTGCTTTCCTGATGTGATTAACAGGGAGAAGGTAATGGCAGGAGACAGGAACAATATTCTAGCATCTCAGCTTCTACCTTCTTTGAATGACTTTTCCTTTCTGTATCAATCTTGTTCCAAGCTATTACATGTGGGAAAATCTCCAAAGATGCTTCTACCAGTGAGTCCCTATCTACACCATTGGTCACAACTGCTTAAAAATGAGTGAGGGGGTCTTAGTTTTGAAACTAGAATTATAGGTGACTTTAAAAATATGTATCTATCTGTAATTTTAAACTGTTTTCTAATAAAAATTATTAGTAAAATTTTTTAAATACTTTATTTTTTTATTAAAAAAGATAGATCTTGGTAGACTGCCATACGACACCTTATAGCGTGTTAGGCATTTGTCCTGAGATCCAACTAAGGAAGCTTCAGATGCAAAATGATGTCAAGTCACAAGGATTTTACAGCTTGGGAGAAAGGGCTTAGCAAATCATTCCTTTGCTCTCCTGAAACTAGCGGGTCGGTGAACCCTGGGCTGGGCCACTCACACTGGGAACCAGTAAATATGCTGTCAAAGGTTGTATCAGCTTTAGAGGCAAGTCGTACCGGGGACCAGTAGAGAAGGTTGGCGAAAGGTGGCCAAGTGAAGACCACTAGCTAGGAAAACCTTCTGGACTAGGTTTGGAAGGAGGGACAGAGATCACCAGAGGCTGCCATCTGAGATCATCATCAAGCCCTAAGAAAGATTCCCACAGCCCTCCAAACTCAGAGGAAGCTGAGGATAAAAGGAAATTCTACAGATGGCAAGACAGTCATTTTTTTTTTCTTCAAGAAGAAATCAATTACCTGTAGATATTCTTGCAAGAAAATGTAATATTCCTTTTGCTTATAATCAATTCAAGCTCTTTTATAGAGGGATCCTGGCATAAGTCTCTGGGGAAGAAAGAAGAAAGAATATTACAAGACCTCACAAACATGTTTTGAGTCTCTTTGTTTGTTTTTGTAGCAGGCCCTGGACAAGACCCTTAGATAAAGAGGCAAAGCAGAAGCCCAGTGTCTCAGAGCTCCCGGGTCAGCAGGAGAGCTGAAGTGTGCAGCAGGTAAATATCCTTTGCAGAAATAAAATTAAGAGGCTGTTGGGATGAGATTCATGTACATTCATTTTCTGGGTCAGTTTGCTCCCAATGAGTTCTTGTCACTGTGGATTCTTTCATGAACTGATTCATGAAATATCCCTTGGGTACAAAGTAGTAAGATATACCTGGAATCTCCTCTTCCATCATGCATCACCCAGGCCTGTAGTGTGTGAACCTTCCCTGGTTGCAAATTATGGACTTCCACACTCCCAAAAGTGCTAAAATAGAAGAAGCAAAGAATACTGTCAACCCCAAACTAAAGCATCCACGCTCCCTTAAAAACCAGTAGGCAGATGGTACTGTCTAGGACCTGTCTTTTGGAGTTGACCCATCAAATCGCAAATTAATAACACGTTTTTATTCAGCATGATCCTCGATTAACAAAACTCTCAAAATAAAATTCTTTCATTGTGCAATTACGTTGATTCATTAAATACTTGCTATTTGAAGAGTGGTCCTTAGACCATCCTAACGAACATCACCTGGGATCTCATTAGAACTGCAGAACTTCCGCTACCACCACCTGCTGAAATGATCTGCAGCTGAACGATCCCCAAGTGATTCACATGCTCAGCAAAGTTTGAGAGGCCGTGCTTCGAAAGACCACAGTGGCCTGTTTTAATCCCATTCCTAAACTCTTCCCTGTTAGTCTCTGGCAACTGACACTCCAGTACTTAAACCATAATATCAGATCATAAGATTCTGAAATGTTAATGCTTTCACCCAAAAAATTGGGATCAGAAGACAAAAGGACAAATGCTTCCTTGTATAATTAAATATCAAAACAGGAGAGAAGAAAAATTATGTGGAGCACCTAGAGTTTCCAAGGCAGGTTAATATATGCTTCCTCCTTTCAGTCAGCCTCATGTGGGATTAGAGAACAAAAATTAAAGAGCAAAGACCAAAAAGGCAATTGATGCAGTAAAAACTGTAACTGTATATCAGACAAGAAGGCACAGGTGTGGCCAGATTCACTGGTGAGGATCATCAAATGAGGATGACAGCTGATTCTTACTGAGCACTTTCTCTGTTGTCAGACACAGAACTCAGCATTTTTCATCCATTGTCTCAGTTAATCTTCCCATCACCATCACCTCTTCAGGTACATATACAGGGGCTTAGAGAGGTTGAGTGCCCCACCTAAGGTCACACAGATAATATGTAATGACCTCCAGTACCTGCTTTTAACCACTATAGTACATTGCTAACAATGTCTGCAAAAAGACAGTGAAGGCCAAGAGCCCAGCACAGTTCCCAATATTCCCAGTAACGGTTTTACTACTGAATTGGGATACTACAGAACAGAGATTACTACACTTTTCCTGGAGGAAAGGGGAGGTAAGGCAGGTCTTCATGGATGGTGAGGATTTAGACAGAAGGGAGCAGGGGAGGCAGGTCATATGGGGGAACAGTGTGAACAACGATGATCAATGGGTAGGGTGGAATGTAACGAGAGCGAAAGCTCAGAAAATTACACCGTATCTGGAGAAGTTAAGAGCCGGGGATAGACATAGTGCGGTGGCCATTAAAACCTGGTAGAGTTCACGTCCTTTGTAGGGACATGGATGAACCTGGAAACCATCATTCTCAGCAAACTGACACAAGAGCAGAAAATCAAACACCATATATTCTCACTCATAGGCGGGTGTTGAACAATGAGAACACATGGACACAGGGAGGGGAGCACTACACACTGGGTTCCGTTTGGGGGAAGTGGGGGAGGGGCGGGGGGGTGGGGAGGTGGGAAGAGATAACATGGGGAGAAATGACAGATACAGGTGAGGGGACGGAAGGCAGCAAACCACACTGCCACGTGTGTACCTATGCAACAATCTTGCATGTTCTTCACATGTACCCCAAAACCTGAAATGCGATAAAAAAAAAAAGCTTGCAAAAAAAAAAAAAAAAAAAAAACAACCTGGTAGAGGATTTTTGGCAAAGAAGAAATCAGACATAAGCACTGACTTAGGAGACAACTCTCTCCATAGAATTCAAAATGTTTACCTTTTTTGGCTCAGATCTTCAGAACTGACCTGAAACATGAAAATCATATTCTTTCTAGGGATGAAATATCCACTGTGAAATTTGCAACAGTATACTTGCAAACAGGATGCAAAATAAATGTGTACCTGTTTTTGTCAAAGATTTTACTGCGGGACCCATTGAGCATCACATGGACCACACCACAAGCAGTTTCTGCAAACTTAAAAAAAAAGAAATGTCCACCATTCATCATGCAAACTTAATCATCATGCTCCAGCAGTTTCATTCAGAACAATACTTAGCAATAGCTAGTTAAGCAAAGATGTTCTATATGGTTTTAGCACAGGAGTGTCAGAGCTACATAATTTTAATTCCAAGCCACTGAACAGATTATGCTTCATATCAGAATTCTTGAAGCAGTTGTTCCAAACTGTAAGTGAACAATGTTCAGTGTTGTAGTTCATAGAGCTGCTAAATTCAGTGGCTCAGAAGTTAGAAGTCCAGATGAGTAACAGGAATGTCTAGAGAGGGAAGATGAAAGTGTTTTCTCACTGACATGCACTGTAGACGTTACACTTGTTTAGTGGGAGCAGGTGGATGATTCAGAAACAAGGGAAATGGGAACACTACAAAAGGGAAACCGAGGAGAGAAGAGGGGACCCTCAGGCCTGGAAAGGCACAGAGAGAAAGGAGGACTGAATAAATGAATGAATAAATATGCTTGAGCAAAGAGTCTTAATTCTTCATGCAACAAACATTCAGCAGGAATCTTTGTTAGGCTTTGGAAAAAATAAACAAAATAAAGTGGCCTATATGGTCCCTCCAGGAGGCTTCCCCAACCCCTGGAACTAGCTCGGGTCCCCTTCGCTGACTCTGACAGCATCTTACATTCCCTCCACATTATCCAACTATATTGTATTATAATGATGAGTCTAACCTACCCCCAAAATTAAAAATTAAAAAAAAAAAACACTGCCTCTGTTACCAGAAAAAGAAAGCAATAAGTCTGAAAAAAGAAGGGCATCCACATACATTCATGAGTGAATGGCAAAGATAAAGGTGCTGGTAGCTCACAAGGGTAGGATGCCTTCGATCCTGCGCAGTTCTGTACTCCTAGTGCCAAGGACTAAGTGGGAAACACAAGGATGTTCTTGATACATATAGAATGTGACTTGGTTTTAAAAGTTCTTAGCAACAGCACTGCCCTAAAACATACCATAGAGTGGTGAAACAGAAACTGTTCTCAGAAAAAGCAAACAAGCAAAAACTATAAAGTGCCCATGATCACTCACTGTCCATAGTAAGTACTCAGTTTATGTTTATCTATTTATCTTGTAAGTTGCTTCAGTGTAAGCAACTTACATTTTACTGTAAGTGGACAAGGAAGCATTTCTTTTCAAGTATATTAGGAAAAAAGAGAAAGGAAGGAAGAAAGAAATGAAAGAAGAAAGTGGGAGTAACAATATACTAATTATAATGCTTCAAAATTAAACTTAGACATTTGAGGTGCTGGGGCAGGCAGAACATAAATTATTTTCAAAGTGGGTGGATTTTGAGTTACATTACAGGATAGTGGTATCTTATTTTAAACATTGCAGTGACCCCAGGGAACATGCATATTTTGATTTCCATTTGACAAATGAGGAATCTGAAGGTCAGAATGAGTAAAAGAATCTGCCCAACTTTAAACATAGTCTCCTTATGTCAACTTCCAGGCTGTTTCCCTCTCTCCATCATAACAGGGTTTACATGAATCCCCCTAAGACAGAGGTTTAGCTAGGTATAACCCAGAGTTAAAATCAAACTGTCATTTAAAAGACAGAATTAATAAGCAGATTCAAAGAACAAGATTGAAGAGCATGGTTTTGGAATCAAGAAGACCAAGGTTAGGCTCTTGGCCCTGTAGCTTATTATCCCAGAGAACTCGGATGAGTCACTTAACTTCTGAGGCTTAGTTTCTTCACCTTTAATGTGGGGATTTGGCACACTACCTATGGGGATGACTCAATGAGAATGACACAGGAATGTTCCTCAAGGCTTGTCACATATATGCTGCTATGATTTGAATGTATGTGTTTCTTATACTGAAACCTAAGACCAGTGTGATGGTAATAAGCAGTGGGTCTTTTAGCAGATAGGCCCTAAGGGGATTAATACCCTTATAAAAGGGCTCCGGGGAACTAGCTACATTCCTTTAGCCCCTCTGCCTCTGCCATGTGAGGCCACAGCAAGAAGGTACGATTTTGGAATCAGAAAGCAGCCTCACCAGGCATCCAATCTGCTGGCACGTTAATCCTTGATTTCCCAAGTATCCAGAACAATGAGAAAACAAAATTCCTGTTTTTTAAAAAATTACCAAGTCTCAGGTAATTTGTGACAGAAGCACAAATGGACTAAGACATATGCACTTAACAAAAACATTTCCACCTGGCCCAGCTCCTCAGATAGCTATGTTTAATTTTGAAGAATTATAAATAGTATATTGTTGCTCCCACCTTCTTTTTTCATTTCTTTCTTCCTTTCTTTCTCTTTTTTCCTAATACACTTGAAAAGAAATGTTTCCTTGTCCACTAACACTGAAGGAACTTACAAGGTAAATAAATATCCACAGTCAGCTTTGAGTAAGGTCAGAAATAGATGCGGGTATTTGTATACAATGGAATTGTATTCAGGCATTAAAAAATGTATTCCTGGCCAGGTGCAGTGACTCATCCCTGTAATACCAGCACTTTGGGAGGCCAAGGCAGGTAGATCACCTGAGGTTAGGAGTTTTTGACCAACCTGGCCAACATAATGAAACCTCCTCTCTACTAAAAATACAAAAATTAGCCAGGCATGGTGGCCCATGCCTGTAGTCCCAGCACCATGGGAGGCCAAGGCTGGCAGATCAGCTGAGCTCAGGAGTTCGAAACCAGCCTGACCAATATGGTGAAACTCTGTCTCTACTAAAAATACAAAAATTAGACAGGCATGGTGGCCCATGCATGGTGGCCCAGGTACTCGGGAGGCTGAGGTAGAATTGTTTGAACCCAGGAGATGGAGGTTGCAGTGAGCTGAGATTGCACCACTGCTCTCCAGCCTGGGCAACAGAGCAAGACTTTGTCTCAAAAAAAAAAAAAAAAAAAAAAAAAAAAAAGGGATTCTTGTCATTTGCAGCAACACGGATGGAACTGGAGGGCATTATGTTAAATGAAGTAAGCCAGAAACAGATGCTTAAATACTACATGTTCTCATTCATATATGGAAGCTAAAAATAAGCTGATCTTATAGAGGTAAAAGTCAGAACAGAGGCCACTAGAGTCTGAGAAAAGTAGGAGAAGAGGGGATAAGTAGAGATTTGTTATAGAATACAAAATTATAGTTAGATAGGAGGAATAAATTCTGTTGCTCGATAGCACTGCAGGATGACTATAGTTAATAATACATTAAATAGTTTCAACTAGCTGGGAGGGAGATGTTGAATGCTCCCAACACAAAGAAATGATAAATGTTTGAGATGATAGATATGCTGATTACCCTGATCTCATCACTACACCTTACATGTATTACATCACTACATATCCAATGAATATGTAAAATTATTATGTATCAATTTAAAAAAATAGGTAGAGGGTGCCATGGAGTACTTACAAGTCTAGATTTCTAGGTCAGACAGCTTGGGATAAACTCTCACATATGCCACTTACTATGTCTGTACATTTAGTAGATTCCTTATTTACTTATACCTTCACATCGTTATGTATTAAATGAGTACAATACTCACAGTACCTGCTTCACAGGGCTCTGGTGAAGATGCAAGTTCTTAGTTTACATAAAAAGCTGAGGAATGGCTGGGCATGATGGCTCACACCTGTAATCCCAGCACTTTGGGAGGCTGAGGCAGGTGGATCATGAGGTCAGAAGTTCGAGATGAGCCTGGACAACATGGTGAAACCCCATCTCTACTAAAAATACAAAAATTAGCTGGGTGTGGTAGTGGGTGTCTGTAATCCCAGCTACTCTGGAGGCTGAGGCAGGAAAATTGTTTGAACCCGGGATGTGGAGGTTGCAGTGAGCCAATTGTGCCACTGCCCTCCAGCCTGGGTGATGGAGTAATACTCTCTCAGGAAAAAAAAATACAAAAATTAGCCAGATGTGGTGGTATATACCTGTAATCCCAGCTACTTGGGAGGCTGAGGCACTAAAATTGCTTGAACCCAGGAAGCAGAGGTTGCAGTGAGCTGAGATCATGATGCTGCACTACAGTCTGGGCAACAAAGTGAGACTCCACCACACACACACACACAAAAGAGCTGAGGACTGTACCTGGCACATAGTAAGTGGTCTATACATGTAGATTGTTACTGCTGTCTCAGGAATCTAAGACTGATTAATATCTGAATCAGAGAATTAAACCCTAGGTTCCTGGTAGCCAAAGTCAAACAGTGTGTAAGAGCCAAGATTCTGCAACTGGAGGCCATGGACCATCTATGAATGTTCTAAAATTGGATGTGCACATTTTCTGGCATGTGCTTCTGAACCTTTTTCTCAGGGATGAATCCTGTATTTTCATTCCTAAAAGGATCTATAATCCAAAAGTGTTAAAACCAAGCACTGACTGGATGACATCTTAAGTTCTGTGGTCTCCAAAGCTCTAGAATTTCACTGCTTGGTACTTACCCTGTGAGAAACTGTTTTCCAGAATACTGAAACAGGGTTGCTGCTGCAGTCTTTTCTCCAGTCTGGGCAAGATCGATAGTTTAATTCTAAAAGACACAGTTTATAGAAAATAAAGTGGAAAAGAATGAATATAAACAAGCTCCACTCTTCCCTGGCTATTCAATCATAGTGGAAACATTTTCCAATGTATCACTGCCAAGACAGAGGCTGGAGAACGGACACATTTCGACCCAATTTAACTAAGTGTCCCCTGAATTCCTTCCAAAGTTCTTACCTTATCTTCCAAATCCCAGATGGGAACACAGTGGCAAGTCATGATTCTGGGAAGTGCTAGAAAAAGTTCATGTGATAGAGATAAGCCCTCTACATTATCCCCAGTCCAGGAAGAATTAGAGGTGAGATCAGTCCTTCAGTGGTTGCTTTTGCCAACCCCTTTTCTGCTTCCTGACAATTCTCCTTGGCTGAGTTTCCTGCCCCACCTTCTTAAGTCTTCACCACTTACTCTCAGACCAGCTCAGAGTCTTCCTGCACTTGCTCTCATCAAGGCAGTCTTAGCCCTGAGTAAAGTACAATAGATATAGAGCATGAATACATAGTTTTTGTGTCACTTCTCCCAAAGAAATCTGCCTTAATGCACATTTATTGAATTTTAGGTCTTAGAAAGATAAATTAGATGGGAACCTTGCCTTCAGAGGGTACGTGATACACTAATTCTAGGAGTCTCATAATGATTAAATGCTTTAAAACCAAAACCACACAAATAAAAAAAAAAACATTCGCATGTACAGATGTAAATAATTATTGTGGAGTCAAAAGGAATTATCTTCCTGATAGAGGTCAAAAGGTTGACTGGTGAAATGGACATACATTTTGTAAAGTGCTTTAAAGCATATATGTTTTCATGAATGTAAACCTCTTTTATCTTCACAATCACATCTAAAGAGATTCTCTCAATTGTCATCTTTCCTCTCCCAATAGGATTCTTCCCCATGGCTGCCTGCCATTATGAAAACATAAACATATCATAAAATAAAAATTTAAAGTTAGGAATATAAGAAAAAGAAGAAAATTTAGCAAGGAACAGAAATAAACTTAAGAATACAAAAAAAGACAAGAGAAAAAAGGAGATTAGAAAGTTGTGACATAAATTAAGAGCTTAACAAACAGGCTGGATACCATGGCTCACACCTGTATTCCCAGCACTTTGGGAGGCCAAGGCAGGTGGATCTCTAGAGCCCAGGAGTTGGAGACTAACATAGGCAACATGGTAAACTCTGTCTCTACAAAACATACCAAAATTAGCTGGGCATGGTAGTGCATGCCTATAGTCCCAGCTACTCAAGAGGCTAAGACAGGAGGATTGCTTGAGCACAGGAGGTTGAAGTTGCAGTGAGCTGAGATTGTGCCCCACAATCTGAGTGAGAGGGACAGACTGTTTCTGAAAGAAGAACAAGAGGAAGAAGAATAAGAAGAAGGAGGAGGAGGAGGAGGAGGAGGAAGGGGAGGAGGAAGAGGAGGAGGAGGAGGAGGGGAAAAAAGAAAGAAGAATAAAAAATAGTAAAACAAATAAGGCAAAACTAGATCAGGTTAAAATGTTGAGAATAAAATAAGCCAAAATACTAAAAAATTAAAATATAAAAATTAGGCCTTTTTACTCTTCCACTTTCTGCCATGTGAGGACACAGCAACAAGCAGAGAACAAGTCTTCACCAGACAATGACTTTTTCAGTGCCTTGATCTTGGCCTTCTCAGCCTCCAGAACTAAATACTTCATGCCTAGAGGAGTGAATCAGCAAGATGGCAGGATGGAAAGTCTCAGACTCGACTCTAGAAAGTTCAACTAGCAATTATCCACAGACCAGGATGTCTTTTTGAAGGCTCCAATACTTGAAAACAAGCTTGAGACACGTATGTGGTCCATAGAACTGGTGAAAACCAAATTGGATGGGTAAGAAGAAAGATCTCACTTTGACTATGGCACCCCTTTTCCTCCCCCAAAGAAGGAACACAAAGCCAGATGGAGAAGATTTTCCTGGGCCATGGTTTCCATAGCGGGAAAGAGAACCAGAGGTAATTATCCATCTTCCCTAGCATTCCAAGATGCTTTCCAGGAAAGCTGACTCCAGTCTCATTTCACAGGGAATGTTGAGGATTGGAGCACAACTAGATTGCACCAGATTAGGTAGAAACAAAGAAAGGAGGCAGAAATCATAGTGACCAGCATATGGATCTTGATGGTACCTCTGTGTTTCTGCCAGCTATGACATCCTATAGGAAATACCAGCCAGTTTCATGGCCCAAAACAAGCTGAGCTGGTCTCCTTCAGAACCACTTTGGGAAGTTCAATCTAGCTTAAGTTCCTAGATAGCTAGATTCCACTCCTAGCCTCAGAGACCGCCCCAATGACCCAACCCAGGCAGGTAGATGACTGTCTTTGCCCATCCTAGAGAAAGATAAATGCTTGATTTAATTGATACAGGAAGTCAAGCAGTGGCTCCACTCAGCCAAAATGCCTGCCAACAACCTACCCAGGAAGGGAATCTTCTACCTCAGTGCATTTTGGAGAAGCATCAGAGATAGCCCCAGTTGACCAGGAAGGTCAAACAGCTGCTTACTTCAGCCGAAAGTCAACCCATGGCTCCATTCTCAGAAAGGTGATCTTCAATTGTGCATTAGGAACATAGCCTCTGATCTTGCCTGTCTACCTAGCCTTGGAGCCCGGCCTGAAATGCTGCTGAACTTCAGATACCAAATATTATAATTACCTGGCCAGGAAATACATGCTATAAATGATGTGATTAGAAGCCATCACAGTACCCAGCCAGTATAAAACAATGAAACCACAAGAAAGACAATAAGAGAGGAAGAAAGAAACAAAGTATCTTTTAAAAAAGCAGAAAACAATTAATAAAATGGCAGTATCAAGTCTTTACCTATCAACAATTATGTTGAATGTAAAAGGATTAATTCTTCAACCAAAAAACAGAGAGAATTAATAGATTTTTTTTAAGATCCAACTATACGCTGCCAACAAGAAACTCACCTTACTTTTAAGAACACATATAAACTGAAAGTGAAGAAACATATTCCATGTGAATAAAACTAAAAGAGATCAGGAGTAACTACACTTCTTTCAGACAAAATAGACTTTAAGTCAAAAACTGTAAAAAGAAACAAACAACATTGTATAATGATAAAGGGGTCAATTAATTAAGAAGATACTGTAAATTTGTAATATTGTAATAATTTGTAAAATTGTAAATATACATGCACCCAACATTAGAGAACCTAAATATAAATAACAAATATTTAAGTATCTGAAAGGAGAGATATAATGTAAGGCAATAATAGTAGGGAACTTCAATACCCACTTTCAACAATAAACAGACCATTTAAACAGAAAATTAATAAGGAGACAATGAACTTGAACAATGTTTTAGACAAAATGAACTGAAGAGACATATACATCAGCATTGACACTATCTGACAGTAACGTTAATACACACTCCTCTTAAGCACACACAGAATATTTTCTAGGGTAGGGCACATATTAGGACACGAAAAACACGCCTTAGCAAATTTAAGAAGGTTATAGTCATATCAAGTATCTTTTCTGACCACAATGGTAGAAAACTAGAAATCAATAAAAGAAGAAATATTGGAAAATTTACAAATATATGGAAATTAAACAGCATGTTCCCAAATAAACAATGAGTCAATAAAGAAATTAAAAGGAAAATTTAAAAACATGTTGAGACATGAAAATGTAAATACCATATACCCAAAACATAGGGGCTGGAGCAAAAGCAGTTCTAAGAGGAAAACTGTAGTAATAAATACCTACATCAAGAAAGAAGAGAGATCTCAAAAGAACAAAAACATTTAACATTATGGAAGGAAACAATAAAGACTACAAAAGAAATAAAATAGAGACTAGGAAAACAACACAAAAGATTAACAAGCTTAGAGTTTTTTTTTTTTTTGAAAAGATAAACAAAATTAACAAATATTCAGCTAACTTAACTAAGAAAAAAGAGAAGACTCAACTAACATCAGAAATATAAAAAGAAGATACTACAATGGATATTACACAAATACAGAGGGTCATAAGAGAAACTACAAATAATTATTAATATATGCCAACAAGTTAAATAGTATAAAGGAAATGAATAAACTTCTAGACACATACAACCTACCAGGACTGAATCATGAGGCAATGAAAAATCTGAACAGGAATAATGAGTAAGAAGATTGAATCAGTCATTTAAAAGCCATCAAAGGAAAGCCCAGGACCTGATGAATTCACTGCTGAGTGCTATGATATCAAACATTTAAAGAGCTAAATCCAATCCTCCTCAAACTCTTCCAAAAAAACGAAGAGGAGAAAATACTTCCAAACTCTTTTCATGAGGCCAGCATTACCCTGATACCAAAGCCAGATAAGGAAACTACAAGAAAAGAAAATTACAGGCCAAGATCCTTGATGAACATAGATGCAAAGATGCTCAACAGAACACTAGCAAACTGAATTCAGCAATATGCTGAAAGAATCATCCACCATGATCAAATGGGATTTGTTCCTGGGATGCAAGGATCCTTCCACATACACAAATTTTAATAAATGTAATATAACACATTAACATAATGAAGGACAAATAGCATGTGATCATCTCATCAGATTCAGAAGAACCATTTGAAAAATTCAACATTATTTTATAATAAAAACCTTTGCCAAATTAGGCATACAAGGAAGGTACCTCAATAAAATAAAGGTCATATATGAGAAGCCCACAGCTAACTTCTACTCAATAGCAAAAAAATCAAAAGCCTTTTCTCTGATATCTAGAAGAAGTCAAGGATGCCCACTTTTATCACTACTATATAACAAAATAATGGAGAAGTCTTTGTTGAGCAATTATGTGAAAGAAATAAAAGGCATCCAACAAAAAAAAGTGAAATTGCCACTATTTATTGATGCCATATATATTTAAAAAGCTCACTCAGCACTCCAGCAAAAAACTATTAAAAGTGACAAATATAGTAAAGTTGAAGCATTCAAAAGCAACACACAGAAATCAATAGCATT